CCTTATCGCGAGGAATTTCAGATAGATTTGTACCAAATCCTGCGAGTTTGATGAACATGAATGAATCTATATAATCCATAAATTTCTTTGGAAAAAGACAATGGAGAGAATTGTTTATTGGAACTTTTTTGAAAATAATGTAATCCCAACCACGATAATGAAATAAGAAAATGAACTAATGAAGAGATTAGATTATTATCAGATTATTAACAGTTATCGTAATATTGAAGAATCGGAAAATTGATGGACATTCCTACTTTTCAGTGGGAGTGAGACGGAAATTTCACAACTTGGTTGAATTTTTTATGGAAGATGAAAATTCAGAACCAAAATGCCATGAATTTTCAATTTTTCCCTGAATTTTCCAGATTTTTCCGAATTTTCGTTGAATAATTGAACTGAAAAATCGAGTATTTTATCGATTTTCTGATAATTCAAAGAGAAAATCAATGGAATATTTGACCCCAGTCTGGACTATCCATTTTTATCAGTAAGAAAAAATGTTCTGGTTATTCATATTGAGAATAATCCCGGTTCCCCTCCTACCTCATCCAAATCCCATCCAATTATTTCCTATGACGTCACAAATATGTGGAACGCTATATAAATTTCCGTTTTTAATGTAATTTAATGAAAAATCGAGTATTTTATTGATTTTCTGCAAATTCGATGAAAAAATTAATGGAATATTTGATTTCGCAATGACAAGATTTCCTGAAATTTCAGTGAAAATTAAACATGAAACAAAACTCCGGGATTTAACACGGAAAATTCAGAAGAAAATTTTTAAGAATATTCGCTATCGTGTCAAATCAGTTTTTTCATCACGCTGTGACGAAAAGTGAACTTTTCGGCACGCTCCGCGTGCCTCAAAGTCCTATTTCCGCCACATTGTGATGAAAAATATTGTTCGTAACTCGTGAAAAAATGTTTTTTGCACTCGTTACGAAATATACTATTTCAATCCGAACAAATTCTTTTGTCTTTACTAATTGCGGGAGAATGCAGGGAAAGTTGGGACATGATTCTAACGTGCAGCAGGAAGCCGGAAGTAATGATTGAGCATTCTGCAAGGGTATGTACCGCACCGCATTTTTTCCGATTTTTTAAATTTCACTATAGTAAAGCCTCAGAAAAATTTGAAAAAATTTGACTTGTCATTTTGAAGTGTTTAGAAGCCCTATCAATAAAAATATCCGCCAAAAATATCATAAGCAGTTAGATTTTCACATTTTTATTCCGAAACTCCGGGTCGTGTATCGTGTTTAATGCGAATTTGCAGAAAAACATGGCTACTTTGAGCTTGAATATATAATTAAGGGTACCACTGAACATAAAGAATCTCGTGGGACTTCTTCAATATGATCTAGATCACTCTTGATTTTTTCCGATTTTTCTTAGATCTTTCAAATTTATCATTATGTCGATTGATGCACTGGAAAAAATAATTATCTTTGCCAAATATTCATTTAGTTGAAGAAGTATTTATTTTTTCAATACCATATTTCTCCAGTCGAGTCATTCCCAGGCAATCCTCATTAGGTTTCAATTATGTCAATTATAATGTTCTAGAAAATGATCATGTCGGTTATGATCTTGAGTGAACTCCCTCAATAAGTATCAACATTACCGACGGCGGTGGCTGTGTGGTTAGAGTCCCGGGTAGAAATCACGCCGCTCGAGCTCGGCTCGGAACCCGTATCCCAGCTAGAAATACGCCACTCCGCCCCAGCTTGGGATAAACTCCACGCGCGTCACATGTACCCGAGGTTGAGCTGCGTCACGCGCTCACAGCGTTAGACTATTACGCGAAACGCTTCGCCGGGCTTTAGTTGAATGGCCACTGCTCAACCTCAGGTTCATCTCCAATTACTCAATCCCAGTATACTTAACCTCAATAATGATTTGACAGGTCCGATGGCATCGTGATTTGAGCGAAAAAACAATCGAATAAATGTGAAGATGGCATGCTTTTTCAGATGAACAATCACAAGCTCATCAGAAATAACGTGATATTAACTAATCGAATGGGATTAATCTGAAAATACAAGGTAGAACAATTCACTGAAACGTAGTCAAAACTTTCTTTTTTCTCGCGAATACAACAAACAAAATCAAGAAAAATAATCACTTGAAAAACGTTAACGAACCTTTATTATTAATTATCAACGCTACAGGAGAGGATATTCTTCATTTTTCGATAGGCCTACGAGTTCTAAGAATATTCTACGATTTATTAGGGAAATGTTGAATACAGGTATGCCAAAATAACACGCATGAAAAAATTCAACAGAAAAACCTAGCGCTTTCTATTAAATTTCTATTGGAATTCTATGAGAATTCTCTGGAAGTTCTATTAGAATTCTATTCGTTTCTTGCGCCGATTCTATAGGAGATTATGCAACTTCATAGAGTCTTTTTGTTAAGGTAAAATTTGGTGCAAGAAAGTAAATAGGTTTTTATGTTCCTATAGATTTTCTTAGGCGTAAGATTTCTAAGTTTTTTCCGCTCGGTTTTTCTTCTTTTCTTTTAATCAAATGCAGGAACAAAACTTGGAAAATTCATGCCCAATAGTTTCTGTGGAAGAAATCCTAACAGAATAAATTATCTAGAAAAATCAATGGATTTTTTTCTACAAACAAATATCTATTAAAAATGCAGGGAAAAGTTGCATAATTTCCAATGGAATTGACGCAAAAAAAATATAATTTTTCAATAGAATTGCAATAAAACTTGAATAGAATTCTCATAGAGCTCCAATAGAAATTCAATAGGAATTCTTAGAGAAAGTGCCAGGTTTTATATTCGATGACAGAGGGAAAAATCAGTAAATTTCAAATTTTATAGAAAGTTCAGTGGAATTCCATTTTTTTTTATAGTAAGAAGACAAGGATTTTCCAAAGTATTCAAATTTTAAATCGATATTCTACAAATGCATAAATATCATTCTATTCCACCCTCCACTCGAAACGACACGACTCAATTGGAGCTGAGTTCTAAGCGTTGAGCCACAGCTCAAACTCAAGTGCCGGGTTATGCCGTCTGATGAGCGTTCGACTGTGAGCCGGTATGGAGCGGCGTGTCGCGGCGTGAACTCGGGTCAAGCGGCAAGCCGAGGCTGAGCTCGCGCTCACCCGAGTTGCGGCTGAATCCCCGGTTGAATTTCTACCCGGGGTGTGGGACTGGCATGCGGGAGAACCGGGTTCGATTCCCGGCTGGGGGGGGGGGGAAATTTGTGACATTCTAAATCTCACGGTTTCATTGTCGAGCGGGAGTCTCGCAAGAGACGACTGTACCTGGGCAGGTTTTTCCCTCAAATGAGGTTTTCCCTTGTCCTTCGGCGAATGCGGTACAGGGAGTTGGGGAGTGAAAAGGGAACAAATCGTAAAGACGCGAAAGGGTATACAAGAAGAAAAAATTTTTAAAAAAAGTATCAACATTAAAAAATTAATCGAAATTCTTTCCTCTAGAAAATAACAAATTTAGGAAAAATGAATAATCATTAGAGGAGTTCATCCAAGGTCATGTGCAACATAGTCATCCTTTAGAGCAACATGATTGTTGTAATTGAAAGCCAATCAGGCTCGTCTAGGGATGACACCATTGAAGAAATACAATTTTGAAAAAATAAAAACTTCTGTCAAGTAAATGAATATTTGACAAAAATTTGTTTCTCAGTGTGCTAGTACGCCGCGGCGCTTACGGCGCGACCAATGGAGTGCTCAAGTATATCCATAAGAACCGGTTTTTATTAAGATTGTCCCTATTTTTTTCGTAGATAATGATTTTTAATAGTCCTCAGCTATAGAAAAAATATGCTAACTAGCTGTATTACAGTCTAGGACGTAATAAATAATTAAATGCGGGCTTCTAACACGCGAGGCATAGGCCAAACGGGGACTATAGGTTATATGATTCAAAAACATTAATTAACCAATAATTTCTCATTTGATTCAAACAGTTATTGTTGCCTGCATCAGCAATACATGGGAATAGAAAAACTCAATAACTTAAGAGAATGCAATAAATTAAATTATTTCGAATTTTTTCAAAAAATCCGTAGGGACTAACTTTTTTTTGGGTCCGTCTGTCTTAGAATATACCTTAAGCTACCAATTTGAGTTGATTACTTAAAAATGAAATAGACAACATGCACCCAATATACAGACAGAGAAATTTTTTATAAAAATTATCCTACCGTTCTATAAAAGTGTATCATGAGTCATCGATTCCTCATTTCTGTCCCGAAATTTAGTAAAAATTAATATATGGTGATCAAATTTTATTCTACGTTAGAGAAATTTTATCCTGACGCATAATAAATTTTACCCTTCCAGTCCAATAATTTTTATATAGATAACAATGAAAATTCTAGAACGTTTGTTAAATTTTACCCTACCGATACAGTAATTTTTACTCTATCGGCACGGTTATTTTTATTTTCATCAGGATAAAATTTCTCTAACGTAGAATAAAATTTGATCATCATATATTAATTTTTACTAAATTTCGGGATAGAAATGGGGAAACGATGACTCATGATACATTTTTATAGAACGGTAGGATAATTTTTATCAAAAATTTCTATCCCTGTATAGCAGGTTAGCAGGTTATATGGGAATTAAGGGGAGGTTCATCCCCGAAACAAAAAATTTGTCGCTTTTCGAGGAATCATTTCCAAGAGTACTATGTTTCGCTTAATTTGTCTTCATGAATCCGATTTTGTAGTTTTTTTCGACCGCTTAAAATTAGAGATTAAAATTCTTTGCAACCGACGATTCAATCTTTAAAATAATCCCCAACGTATGAATTTTCGAAATAAAAATACTTTTGTAATGAATTCCCTTACCTTTTTCTGTCGAAGAATTCCATGACTAGTGTCACTCCGGATATTCAAAGCACCCGCCGCATGCAGTAGCGCCAGGTAATCAGCTGGAACTACGACGACGTTCCCTGTCGATAAGAAGAATCGAGTGGTTTTTCGGAGGGATCTGTCATATCAACCTCGCCTACTGTTTCCTGTCTCTTTTTACTCGTGCTATACATCCGGTACGTTTCTCCCCGTGGCTTTCTGTAATAAATTATTAAAAATATCCATTATCCTAAGGTTTATCGAAAAAATACTCGTTGTTATTCATAAAGTGCATCTCAAAGTTCAATTAGTAAATAATTGTGAGGGTGATTTCTGTGCATTTCATGTTGATTTAATTGGATTACGAGAGTGATGTTTAGTGTGGTTAAGGAGCCGCTGTTGACACCTCAATTAATTGCTAAAAAATATTAGAATAAAAATAATAACCGAAGTGCACGAGAATGTGACGTTTACTTTATTCATTGTTGAAACTTTAAATTTTAATTTTTTTATTCACAATTTAATTTTCACCTCGGGAAATGAGTTCGTTTAACCTAACCTCAAACCCAGATCATCTTTGTTATCGTGAAAATTGATGAAAAGGAATCACCCTGCAATTCATTGAAACCTCTGAAGAAATCCTAGAAATCGTTCAACAGTGAAATGATCAAACTTGTCAATTCGACTTCTCTTTGATCTGAATGTTCTTCGTGAATATCTCAACATCCATACACCGTCCAAATTTTCACGAAAATTTTTCTCATAGCTCTCATTATCCAGTGAAAAAATTACTCTACTTTCCTCAGACCAAAAAAAAATTAAAAATTCAATGACTTCGGACAATCGATTGATTGATAGATTGCTTGATTGTTTCGTTATACTATTTTACTACGCTGAGAAAAAAAAACGAATATCTGAAACATATTTACTAAAAAGAAGTAATTTTCCTCCTATCGCTTAATTCTCCCAGAAACGAGACCAAGAAAGGTCTCGTGCTTTAGACTATTCTTGTATTCAAGTACGATTTTGTCGCAAATGAACTCACTCAAATTCACCTAGAAGAATCGTCAATCTTCAAGGATTGATTGTTTTCACGATTTTTTTTTGGACTTCCAACGTATTGATATGTAATATATTCATGATGTAATGCGGAATGATAGTGATAAATGAGATTTAAGCCATTAAAAATGATTTACTTCTCTCAAATAAATATGGTCTACATATTAAAAAACTTTTCTCTCAGTGTATGGAGCCTTTAATAACGTGGCCCAACTCATAATCGATTTTTTATCATATTTTTATCCAGAAATGGCAGACTCGGCTGCAGCACCAAAGGCGAAAGCCAAGGCTCCCAAGGAGAAGAAGGCTCCAAAGGAGAAACCTAGTGAGCCAGCACCCCTCAAGAAGAGGCCCTTCAAGAGACACGGACGTCTATACGCAAAGGCCATTTTCACTGGTTACAAAAGAGGTCTTCGTAATCAACACGAGCACACTGCTCTCCTCAAAGTCGAGGGAGCCAGATCTAAAGGAGACTCTGACTTCTACGTTGGCAAACGTTGTGTTTACGTGTACAAGGTAATTCAGCGTGAAAATAATTCATGACTTAGTCCAATAGTGAAATTATGAACAAATGTCTTGGAATTGGAGGAAAATTTTGGAATTTTATTTCAGATTTTTTTTCGAAACTCAAACTTGGAGACAGCTCATTAGGTTTCACATTTAGTGAAGTTATTTTTCTGATAATTTATTCCGTTCTATAAAATTGTGAATAAATTTTGTGGTGTGATGTAAGGCATACGTTAAAGAAGTATAAATATAACTCCAATTTTGAAGATTAAAATCTGAAATAAATTCTAACCGAAGTTAATATGAATAGAAACATTCTGGTTGAGTTTGTGCTCAATCAGAAATTTTATGAGAAAATAATGATTTTAAGACTGGAAAGAAGATTAAAATCTATATAAAATCTTGAAAAATCAGAAAAAAATTAAAATCCTGTGCCCATTATGAAAATTATTGTCAGTGTCAATTTTTTTTGTAAAAAAAGCGTGGGCAATATCTTGAATCTATGAAACATTCTATGACACATCAATAAGCGAATCATAATTGTCAAATAATTTAGATCAAAGGAAAATAGGAGAATTCTACTTTCTTAATATTGCGTTTACTAAGGTTTTCTTCGAATAAAGTTGATTAGAATTGATAGCTATAATTATGAGATTACCTCCCATTTTTGACGTTAAGGATAGGAGAATCTTAATGGGATATAATGAAAATGATGACCGATTTTTGCACGTTGAATAAATAATATTAATATTCAGATACAAAATTTTCACACACTGGGCAATCGGAATTTCACATTGTATAATTCAAACTTGTGAAAGTTCGACGCATTGTATGCAATTCAACGAGTATAATTTAAGGTAATTATGGCGGGGTGGCCAGTTAGGAAGTGAGACAGAGCAGAATCTATTGTTCTCTCGCAGGAAACCAATTGTTGAAAAAAAAAAACTATATTTCAATTACAAATTTTCACTCTACTTCGACCATTTTTGTGTTCGAAATATTTTTTTAATAACTCTTCTATTTTTTCACACATATTTCAACCTTCTTTTATTTTTCTAGCTTGTCTTTTGGATAATTGGAAAATGATTAATATGAAAATAAAAAGTGGCACTGATTCACTCAGCTGTTGTCCCTTCCCATAGCGAAATGTATCATCACAACTCCATTCGTATTTGCCGCGATTAGCCCTCTACGATTTCGAACTTCAACGTTGTCGCTATTCCAAGTTGCGCACGCAGAATTTCTATTTTTCATGAGTTTTTCAATTATCCCTTCTAAACAATTCTCCTAGGCCACTTGGATTATTTTCTTTACGTCCCTCTATGAAAGCTCCACCCAAGTGCGAAATTTCAGGAAAATAGTAACTTTTTCCTATTTTTAATTAATATTTTTTTAAATTCCCATAAGAGTCCGTGTTGGACTACATTTTTTAGAAAAATTCGTGCATTTCACCCATTTCCCTAGGCTATCTGGGATTTTGCATAGGGGTTTGGAAAAAATCAAAGAATGTATTTAAAAAATCATCAATTTCGTGACTTTTTTTCGACTTCCCCTGACTGCGCCATAAATACGTAAAACATGAAATTCAAGAAAAACTGAATTCGCCAATCTCGGCTCAAGTTTTCTGGATTTTTGATTTTTTTAAATTGGATATACTTGAATCATACATGTTGCAGCGCGCACGATAAATTGAACATTCACAAGTTTGAATGCACAATGAGGAATGTACATTACACAATGTAAGTGGTGCGTTCAATGGCAGTTGAGTAAGATTCAATATGTATATCCTGTGATTAGAATGGGAAGATAACAATTTCTGTGATAATGTCTTAATCCAAATCATTAAATGTGTCAAAAAATAAAATAATATATTACTATTTCATTGTATGTAATAGGTAATTTTATCGAGAACATGATGTGTCAGTGCAAAAGTATGTGATAGAATTTCAAACCCAAATATCTTGACAGTGGAGAAGAAACTAGTGAAATTTAGTTTGAAATTTTTTTGGCAACTGGACCTCATAAGAAAATACATTCGGATTTTCGTATATTGAAATTATTTTTTATGATTCACATCTTTCCATTATTTTGTGAACGAATTTTGTGTTATATAATTAATGGTTCAATATTAATGAGGCTTTAATTGTTACAGGCAAAGAACAAGACTCCAGTTCCCGGAAAGACCACAAAGAAAACTAAAGTAAGGGCAATTTGGGGTAAAGTGACACGTCCACATGGCACCAGTGGATCTGTTCGTGCTAAATTCAAGAGGAATTTACCTGCCAAGGCTATGGGTCATCGTATCAGAATTGTAAGTATTCATTATTTTCCGTCACAAATCCATAGCATCATTTCAATTTCTAATAATTGTTTTGTCTTTTTCAGATGTTGTTCCCCAGCCGAGTGTAAAATTAACTTGTACGCATTAAACAAAAAATAATAAAAAACCATTTTGGGTACTTTGGCATTTTTTCTTTTTTTTTTTTTTTAAATAAAGACCACATGATTTCACATTTTTGTTGATGAATGGAATTGTAATGCAGAACTTGGAAGAAATTTTTTGCATGAAATTTTCGTAGGAAATTCTACTAGAAAAAAAAATTCTGGCATTTTATTGTAGAACTAGGGGAGAGTAGGGTAAAATGGACACTAGAATTTTTTAAAATTATTCATAACTCAAAAACAAATGTAATAATAGAGCTCAGTTTAGGCTCATCACAAAGGGAAAGAATTGTTCTTTGTATTGAACAAAAAATTATTAAATTTCATCAACATTTCAACCCGTCACTAATATTTTTAAAAAAGTCAAAAGTGTCCATTTTACCCCAACCTCCCCCCTACTTTTTGGTCAGATTAACATATTTTACTAGGATATCGATATTGATTGAAGCAATTATAGAATTATCTCGGGCCGGGCTGATTTCAGGATAAAATCTCAAAAGATCGTTTTTGTAGAGATTTTTTTTTTCAAAATTTCCCCTCTTTCTTTATCGCAATAATTCCAATTTTTCTCGAGGTGAAAAATGCTCCCCTTTTAAAAATAATTTGAGGTTAGGTAACGTGTTAAATTTTCTATAGTGTAGAAATCCTTCTACACTCATTGTCAAATAACCTCAAAGTCTCATAAAAAATGTCTTGAATTACTCCTGCATTGATTAAATTTTTTGAATCAAGAAAAAAATAGGATGCTGTTTCTTTTCTTACTAGGACAAATCATAAATCAAGGATGATCTTGCTCCGATTCAATTGTCCACTCATAGAGTATCGATTAACTGTCAGCGTGTAGACGCCATTTTCCGATTGTTCTCCCCCTGTCCCTTCACATTTTCTGCGTGAGCAGAACAGAAAACAGTCGTCGACAGCTCCAGTTTTTCATGTTAACTCGAAATGCTGGAGGTGTTTCTCATTTGCAAGTACAAAATCACGGTGCATATCACGTCAATTCATCCTCCCTCCGACAATAATAAATCAGTAGATAGGAATTATAATATCTAATTATGTGGTGCTGATTGTCAAGTGTCTTAACTCGTTCCCTTTAATTTTAATTAACTTGAGTTCAGTATTTATTATCTAGGATGATGTTTTGTTGTCTGAGAAGTTGCTTTAATGGGCTAGGGTTTGCTGGGGCCCAAACCAGTCAGAAGGAGCCCAATCCCATCAATCTGGATACCTCTCACATGGGTAAAGGCATTTGTTTACATTTCTTATCTACGAATTTGACGATTTTCTAATTTAGCCTGCAGTGAGAGAAAAAAATATTTTCTCAAATAAGTCTTGTTTGAACCAAAAAAAACACAAGTTGAAAATTACCAAAAAAATTAAATCTCGTGCTATTTGAAGACTGTCCTGATGTGAAAAATTCTTGTGGCAAAAATGGATTTAGTTGTTCACAATCATATTATACTCTGCACAATCAAGAAATGTCATTTCTAGCGCTACTTTCTGTTATTCGAGACTCTCATACGTATTTTCTTTCCCGAAAAATGTTCGTTTTAGGCGAAACAAGGAACGGTAGTTCTTCACTTCGTCTATTCTATAATCAGACATTTTTTTTTTTATTGGTAAGTATGAACCGTAATCAGACATAAGAAATGAATTCTTGAACGCATCATTAGTCCAATATTTCTATCGAAATGAGTGTGAAGATGTGATGTTCTAAATTAGACATCAGAGGGTAAAACCTTCAGCATTAGAATTCACTCATATTAATCATAATAACTACTATTTTTTAATAAGTAATCGTCCATAAATGTGAAAAGTTCCCTGTTTCTACGCTCGCTCACTTGTCCCCGTGCACGTTTGACACTTGTCCCTATCCTCGTCTCGTGATTTGAGTTATATGGAAAGGTTATATCCAACTAATAACATTGTAAGCATCCTATTTTGCGATGGAACAATATTAAGAAATATTTCGAGGCACAAATTTATATTTCAATTGGACAGTCCAACTTTTTAAATGATTTTTTCATTCGTTTAGTCCGTTAGCAGTTGTCGTAGGATCAATACCTTTTTCATTGTAACTATTCTTTTAACTGCCGATGGTTCAGTGAAATATTAAGATATTACATAATTTATGCATTTTTATTGAATTTTAATAAACTATTTGAAATCCCAGTCAAGGGATTTTTAATCCCATTTTACTATTATGACGGAGATATCAACATTTTTTAATTAAGAATGGGATATCAAAATTTTGGGCTTAAGAATGGGATTTTTCTCTCTTATTCTTCACAAATAAATCACTGTTCATTAGTGTCGAAAACTTTCCTTATTAACTAAAATAATAACTCCAATTTTATTTCACTCTTAATAGATTCTTGGGGGTGTTAAAATGATTAAAATGTGATGGCTCGCGACATCTGAACGAGCATAGGTACATTTACCTTAATAATCTTGTAACTAGTCAAAATATTGTTTTAATAAATTTCCCTCGGAGATATTTTTATATGAAAAAGCACCGTCTCGTGTGAATGATCCACCACTTGAGCCAAATATTCCACTCAAATTAAACAATTTAGTTTTTAGTCATTTTTAGCTTACGATTTTTTGGGTTCCAACAAGACTTGTATGAGAACTTGTTCGTTTTTCTCTCAGTGTGGAAGTAATGTAGCGTGACATGAAACGTCAAGATATGTGGATGCCTCCGCAACTTCCATTTAAACGCATCTTAAGGGTGCCAAGTGAATTTGAAAAAAGATTCAAAAAAATTTGTTTCCTTCCCTCCATCATTGGAGAAATATGTATTCATCCATCCGACGAAATTTCAAACCTGCAACCGGAACTAGACATCGAGAAAATGAATGCGGAAAATCCTCTATTTCGCGTGACGACCTCGAGAAAGCATGGGATCAAATGGGTACGGCGGGTTGAAATATCTCTCTTATTCACCCCGGTACCCCATTTTTTTTGTCGNGATGTCAATTTTCAAGGTCATCGTCAAATTCACTTGGCACCCTTAAATAGTTTCTTCGGTCTTCTGTAGCGACGTCATTTTTCACCCTATCAGGGTTGTGTTGGACTTGGAATTTGCGGAATTTTATTAATATTATCGGAGTATACGTAACTCCATATCGATAAATGGGCCCTGTTTATGTGGACGGCCACATATGATTTTTTTAGTAAATGTCTGTGTATGCTTGTGTACAATTTTTTAGAATTTATTCTAAATCTTCATTTAAAAAAGTAAACTTACAGTTAAAAACCTGAAATTGAGTCCTACAATTGGTATTGTTTGGATGCACTTATGGGCCAAATTTCAGCTCAATCAGTCAATCGGTTTTTTAAATACAGTAATTTTTCAAAAATTGATTTTTTTATACCAGAATATTCCATATGATGATTTCTGTCGAACGTCATAACTGACATTTTCTATTTTGTGAGAATACACGAAAACTCAAAAAATAGTGATAAGACGGATTTTAGCTCCAGTGATATTACAAGATGGAATTTTGGATGGGTGAAATAGGATGAATAGCTTAGGAGATATTCAACGTTTAGTGAAAAAGTAAACTGTTTTCCTGAACATATCTAAAACTACGGGTCGGATTTCAATTTTTCTCCTTTTCAAAATACTCTTCTTACTGTCTTTATGGAGATCAATCACAATATGAATACCCTTCCATACAACGTTTTCGATATATTGCAGTTATTTCGAATTTTCTTGCTTCCGAATGGAAACTTAATGATCGATGGATTTTGTGATTCTCTAATTTTACTTGGAAACGACTTACGATGTCATTAAAGATTGCGATATGATGTTGTTAGGAAATGTCTCTTTGTCCGTCCATATGTAATATGCAAAACTCGGGGAAATTTTTTCTAAATCTTCCCGAAAAAGGAATAAAGTGATAGCTAAAAATCTGAAATTTTGGCCCATAATTGGTATTGTTTAGGGACATTTCTCTGCCAAATTTCAGCTCAATCAGTCCATCAATTTTTAAGATACCACAATATTGTTGTTTTCGAAAATTATCATCGAAAAAATGAAAAGCATAGGAAGACTAATAACCCATGGATTGCTGATTCCACATTCAGAAAAAGAAATATTTTTGCCAAACATTCATTTACTTGAGAAAAGCATTTATTTTTTCGAAATTATATTTCTACTTTCGGGTCATTCCCAGGCGAGCCTGATTACATTTCAATTATGACAATCATGTTGCTCTAGAGGATGACTATGTTGCACATGACCTTGGATGAACTCCCCCCAATGATTATTCATTTTCCCTAAATTTCTCATTTTCCAGAGGAAAAAATTTCAACTCATTTTTTAATATTGATAATCATTGAGGGAGTTTACTCAAGATCATATCTAACATGATCATCCTCTAGAGCAATATAATTGTCGTAATTGAAACCTAATGAGGACTGCCTGGGAATGACTCGACTGAAGAAATACAGTATCGAAAAATGAAGAAATACTTCTCTTAAGTAAATGGATATTTGGCAAAAATATTTTTTTCCTCAGTGTGTTCTCGATGTATCTACAGAATGAATGATTGAAAAACATTTGAGGCATTTTTTACATATATTCTCACTCTTTCGACAGGTCACGAGGTAGTAATTGTTATGAACGGCCTAAGAGCTTGTGGACAGGGCTGTGCCCTCACAAATGTACCTTTAGTACAAAGTAAAAGTTATTTTGAAGTTAAAATACGACAAGATGGAGTTTGGGCAGTGGGTTTGGCCACAAGAACGACTGATTTGAATACATCGACGGGTGGAAATGACGCTGAAAGTTGGGCCTTGAATTCTACGGGCATTATTCGACATAATAAGGAGGAAGTACATAAAGTGCAAACGCTTGCCCAGGAGGGAGACATTATTGTAAATTGTTCAATTATAGTGTCAATTTATTGTGTTTTAGGGGTAAATTTTCAATTTTGAATGATTAATTTCTTTAATTCTTGTTTCAGGGAATCTCCTTCGATCATATAGAACTCAATTTTTATGTTAATGGGAAACCTCTGGAAGCACCTGTCATGGGCATTAAGGGAACAGTTTATCCTGCTTTATATGGTATACAATCATGTTGAGTATATAGGGTAAACAGGCCAATTTCTGAAGGGGAGTTAGTTTCTGGACAATTTCAACTTGCATTGAATATTCCATAAATAAAATGAAAATTGCATTGATTATTTCACCTTTCAATAATATTACTCGTGTGTAATCATGTCATCAACTATTTTTTCTATTGATCGACATTTAATAAATAAAAAAAAATATCGCCCAGTCGTCCAGAAATTAGAGGTTCGGCAGCATTCAACTATTTCTCTATTTTCATTATTCTTTGTTTTGTTATTTTCATAATAAATATATATATCAAATAAATAATTTCTTTAATTAAATTGCTAATTAAAACATTCTTGAAGGTATGAAAGCCATCATACCCCATTTAAGTGATTCTCTTACTTTAGATCCTATCACGAAACTCGAATATCCCTTAACCGTCCAGTAATTAGCCTGTTCGCCCTAATTAAGCGGGATAGTTATGGAATGGTTTATGCTAAACGTAAAATCTTGCGCAACGGTTTCAAAAACTGAAAATTATCAAGAAAACGATAGGTTTGAGAAGAAACTGTCAAAAGTTCTATTCTATAAGAGCAGATCCACGCCAAATTAGCAGGACCAAAAAGGCGATGCGAGGGATTTTCGTGTCAATTTTGTGTTCTGAGACGATGGCGATTAGTCAAAAATTTGGAAAAAGAACAATTGAGAAATATGGATAATTGAGAGAATTATGATTTTTCGAAAATTGCTAGTTTTTGTCCAAAAAAATTTTTTTCTTCCAAATTGGCACACCTAAAGAACATGAAAAACCTTTCAAAATCAGACGTCATACATAACATTTTCTTCAGTTTGACGGGGTTTATACGAGAAAACGTTTTTTTAAATTGTTAATTACTCAAAAATCTAATTTTTTGAAAATCTGAAATTTTCACCAAAAATTGTCAATAAAATGTCAAGAAATTTGGCGCCAATTAGATTTTTTCTATCGTCGTAGTTCAGCGGTTGTTAAGTTTTTCATTGAGATAAGTATTGAAAATGATCGAAAATCGCGACTATTCATGCAATTACCGCCCAAACAAGTGAATGTTGAATTAAATATTAGCAAATGGTGGAAGTTAAATTCATTATATCTTCTACTATTCTTCAGTATGATTTTTTGAGTAAAAAATTATTTCTCCAATTCAGTAGCGAAGCGGTAAACCGGGTTAAGTCGATTTTTACTACTGGTCAGTTTTTGACGAATATCTCAGAACCTAAGAGAGATAGAAAAATTTTTGTCATTACCTTTTTTGTAGAGCCAATTGGGGGTTATAAATAAGGTCATGGGAAAAATTTTCTATCTCTCTTAGATTCCGAGATATTCATCAAAAACTCGCCAAGAGTCAAAATCGATTTAACCCGGTTTACCGCTTCGCTACTGAATTATACAATAGAAATACCCTTTTCAAAGAGCTTTCATTTGTTGGTAATCGAAAATGTACTTGAATTCACTCATGTTTAATGATTCGATTGAATATTCACTCATTTGGGGGATAATTGCATGAATAATAGTGGTTTTCGGTTATTTTCAAAAATCGCCAGCATCGACTTTTTTGGTCTGTTAATTTATCGTGGATCTGCTCATAAATGAAAGAACAATGATCTCGAGAACGAAGAGTTATTGTAGCTAAGAAATCTCCCTACAAATATGGTCTCTTGATTTCCCTCTAGAAACATTCAATACCGAGATCATTCTGAAATTAAGCAGATATATAAATATCAATACATATGAACTAAAATAATGTAACTATTTTGAATTTATTCCAGTGGACGAAGGGGCGATTCTCGATTTAATACCCCAGGAATTCGCTCACACACCCCCCGGTGGCTTCGAGAAAATCATGGTCGAACAATCTCTACTTTAATATTATTTATCCTTAATCAATTTTACGTGATATCTCATTCCCAGTTAATTGATTACTTATTTAATTGTGGTGGAAAAAACTTTTCCAAGAATTTTGTCAATTGCGTTTCCCTTAATATTAAATGACTGTACAAATTCAGATAATAACAATAAGAGAAGGAAGAAAGTGTGAAATGTAATGTCCAAATTGTCACAAATAAACTATAACTATTTAATCAAAATATTTTACTCATTAATATCTATAATTAAAAAAGTAGGAAATGGATCTTGTATTCCATATAGTATAGTTATTTTTGCTAATAAATTAATAACATAGCTTTTGAATGGTTATTTTGCACATCATTTCCTTCTATCATGTATCTCTATATTATAAAAATTCGAATCGAATTCTGGTGATGAAAATTTGGTACTCGAAATTAAGATTCCAAAATTAAGGGTCAGAATAAAGGTCATGGGGGTCATTATTAGGGTCATGGGGGTTAGCAGGAGACGTAGCCCTCTAGTAATTCATTGGTAATAGAAAAAATTCATTTATACATACTTGAATGAGTTTGAAACATCACATTTGAAGAAACCATCAGAAAGCTCACTTTCAGGGAAATTCATGAAAAATTCTAAATTTTCAACAATCAGTATAAAAATCAACTCAACCGACATGACTTTCGTAATCATCTTTCAACTCTGACTTACTGGAATTAAAACAAACATTTTAAGCCATCATTCAATCAATTCAGAACATTTTTTTAGTTATCGTGGGACAACCAATTTTCGGAAAAGTTCGAAAAATAAAAAAAAAATCGATGAATTAAATTTTAATCAATCGCGATTGATAGGGCTCAACAATACCCCAATGATTACATTTGAAAAAAAAGATTCATTTTCATCCATTCATTCAAAAAATCAAAAACTTAAATTTGAACGATTACAAAGCAAAAATAAGTTACAGGTTATATCTTATTCATTAATACTTACAATTAAAAATGAATTAGTCCACAACTTTTCAAATTTTATTAAAACCCTTACATAAGTGATGGCATTTATAATGAATCAAACCCAATGTATAAAGTGTATAATACAATAACTACGTGTTCCATGGGTTTTTTTTCCTTCTAATCAATATAATGATTCAATCTATCATCTAAACGTGTATACACAATTTATATGTGATTTGCAGTGATATAATGCCGTACAGTTGTAATTATTAATCTTCTCTTAAATCACAAATGCCTACTCATTATATACACGGGCTTAAGCGAGAAATTTATAGTGGCATTTTAGGCCTATGGTTTTACAATTATTACGGGAAAGTTTAACGCCATGGCTCGCTTTATTATTTCGTCCCCCTGACTGCAGGTTTATCTTGTTTCTTTCGTTGACAGTTTTTAATCATTCACATGTTAATCTTTGTAAAAATTTCTATTACACATTAAAGCTAAAAATTCTTACATTCTTTTTATATGTATTATTTTTGTTGTCGTCAGCATGAAAAATATGCGAACAATTACATCAGGTTCACATTTATTTTCTCCAATGAATTAATATAATTACTCAAATAATCAACAATTCTTACTTGTATACAATAAACGTCATTTCAACATTTGTATTTTTTTTTCATTTTTTTACTTTTTGAAACATTCAAGAGATTTTTAGTACTGACAAACCCGATTTTTAGTGATTGACGATGATTAGAAAAATTCATTAAAAAATGATTTCCACATCAATGAGCGCTTGGATACGTCTTTTCATTACAAAATTCAATGATTTATTGTATGGCGTCGATACATAGCAATTATTTGTGCTGCTTTTGGCATTTTCAACAAATGCTCAACGTAAAGCTAACGTTAAAATGATGATAATTCTATCTTCTTTGGTCTTTAAGATTATTATTATGACATTATTCACCCTTACCCCAGTTCTTTAAAATAATATTATCAATATTATTGTTCGATTGGCATTGAGATATTTATTTCTTATGGTAGAAAAAAACAGCTATTTTTTGTTGTTGATCAATTCAATAGTTCAGTAAAACGTGACACATCAATTATTCCGATATGTCGTTGAAAATTCTATTATCTCATGAACAAATCACTTTACCACAACATCTCGAGGCTTTTTTTTACCAAGTTTTTGTCGACAACAAAAACATTTCTTTCAGTATTTTCTCAGTCCATTTACTCTCGAGATAATTAAATAACTAATAAAAATGTCGTAATTGATCTATTACGTTTTACCACATGGCTGAAGAACTAAAATACTCAAGTGTACAATGAAAAAAAATCTACAGACGAAGTACCCTCGCATGATTATTGGTAACGCGAGAAACACTAATTTGGCAATCTGTAACTCAGATTGATAATTTGTTTAAAAAATGTTCAACAATTCTTCATCATTAATTCTAGTTATTTATATTACTTCTGGATTTTTTTTTCAGATGACTTGATGGCATGAGATTATAATTGTGGTAACCCATTGAGTCTTATTGCACATAACATGTTCATTCTCTTACAGAACTATATAAATGTCTATATATATATATTTGTTTTTCTCCATTTAAACTCTACCAACGGTAATTAACTCTGAATTCAATCAAAGGACTTTCACTTTTATTTGATTTGCAATGAAGCATGTTATTGTTTGTTAAATTTTTCTCTTCGTTAGGATGGGTGGGCGATATACTATGATTACGGCTAGTCCGTAAGCGTAATTTCACCTACTTTTTTATAATCATGTTTAATGTATTCACACTACCTAAGCTGAAATAAAATCAATGCACAACACTTGCAGGTGTTTTTTTTCTTTATCGCCAATTAAAATTATTCATTTGCAAAAAGGACGTTTTAAATTACTATCACCGTTACAACATTATTTTTCGTTTCAATGTTTGAATTCTGCAATGAAGTGGTTGAACTTGCAAGAAATTTCACATTTTTCTCGTTGTCTTCTGCATACCACTTCACCACTGACTTCATCCATTTATTTATTGAATACCATTAATGTTTGTTAAACGTATACGTCTGTTTGAATATTTCGCCATAATTATGGCTTCATAATAAAATTATTCCCATTGAATAAAACAATGAAAAGCCTTCATCCAATTAAACACGAGTTGGCCACTTAAACAATTACGTTTGTTCTAATCAGTATGACCTTGCAAAGTAAGACCTCGAAAAATAAATGCACCTTGATTATTTTAAAGAACTCTTAATTCCTGGATCATTAAAAAACTTGATAAAAAACCACATGTACAATGCAAGGTTTTAAACTTTCAATGCAAATTTTATCATTTCTTTCAGATATTTTTAAACGTGCCTATTCCAGGTACTTCCTGTCCGGGAATTCATGGTGAATACTAATATATCAGATCCTTCGAAAATCTCAGTATCATGCATATGTATCATGCATTCCTATTAGAGAAAGAAATTTTACTTTTACATTACAATCGATTTCTATGAACAAAGAAAAAAATTATTATAAAAAAAATACAATTCACGTTACAATTTTTTTTTTCATAAAAAATTTACATGTTTCACATGATTCGCTGCCGTCAATCAATCTTTCATTAATACCCTTGGCAGTTATCAATAATTTTTAATTCTAATTTAATACTAAACACAAAAAATCTTAATGAAAAACAATTTGAGATATATAAAAATTTGTATAACTCACATTAAACTGCTGTTTCAATGCAGTAGAAAAAAAGGATATGTCGTTACTTCGAATATGTGTTGTTGTGTTCGTTGGACAGCATCGTTCCATTTTCATCGTATTACAATGATTTATTTTCTCTACTTTTGTGCTCTAAACTCGACATCGGATCTGTCCGTGACAAGCTCGACATTCTTATAAAATCGAGACACGCGGCAGCGTATCGACCAAGGAAAATTTTTGACTCCGACTGTCCAACATCTCAGGCCGAACGCTGCCGGGTATCTATACACGAACGTAACCCCCTACACTACCTCCGGATCGTGCCCATTGAATAAAAATAAAAACGAGGAAAGCTACATAGAAAATACCCTTAGTGACATCATATAAATCATAAGCTTTTCATTGATGTGCCCACTTTTTTGTTCAAGTCCATATTAAGAAAGTTATGCGCATCGAGTTCCTATCCTCATTTTCGCATTTCACACCATCTCAGATTCATAACAAGAAACACTAGGTAGGTGTCCCCCCCCCCCCCCCCCCCCCC